CTTGTTTCTGGAATTTTCCATTTAATATTTTTGGACCTTAGTTAACCGAAGGTAACTGAAACTGTGGAAAGTGAAACCGTGGTTAAGAGGGATTACGGTAAATTGTGGCCACCAAAAACAACAGAATTCATAACTAGCACGATGTAGCCATTTCTCCACTAAGGGCCCTGAGTGTTCTTTGAGAGTGTAAAATTTGTGTTTCTATTTTGGTGGTTATCACAAAAAAAAAAAAAAGCTAGCATCTGTGTGTCACAGATCATCTGGCTGATGACCGCACAGCTCGAATTCTGCCTCACAATGCCTGCGTTCACATTTCGTCTTGGATTCCCAGCTGTACCGGCACTACTGAGATGCTAAAAGCTCGGGATCCCCTCTAATGATACATTCTTCCTCACCAACCCAAGAGGAGGACTGCAGCGTTGCAAAGCCAGTTCTTCAGTGTATCATGCGGATTTGATGATCGGTGTCCACCAAATTACAGGCTTTTATCTTTTTAATCTTTGGGAGTGATAGCAGTTGACTTTTAATTTATGAATTGGTAATAAAAGCAAACATGTCTGGAGAAAAGCAGCAAACTGGACATTTTGATTGGTGTAATTTACAATAGAAATAGACAATTTCAAATAAAAAGCAGAAAACCATACCTAATTTATGCATGAGGACAGAATGCATATTGAAATTAAGACAAGATTGACACTGAAAGACTAGGCAGAAAAAACATAGGACAGAAAAAGAAGAGTGGAGGAAATATCAACAGATTCCTAGTGGAAATATTTGCTCACAGCCATCAAGCTGTACAAGTTAGAAAAAGTAAGATCAGAAATATATATTACAAGCAGCTTTCTGATATGGTTCTCCACCTTTTCTTTTTCCCTCCTCCCATTCTATTTATATGCATTACATTTCCAAGAATAACACAAGATCTCAAAGTTTCCAAGAAGGGAAGATGGAGGGGAGAGCACCCACCCTGTCTCCAATGGAGAATCCCTGGGTTACTCCTCTCCTGATAAGAAAATGCCCACTTCAGCCAAGTGCAGAATGGTTCCCTTTATTTTATTTTGGAGATGGGAGTCTCACTCTGCCAGCAGGCTGGAGTGCAGTGGCGCGATCTTTGCTCACTGCAGCCCTCCGCTCCTAGGTTCAAGTGATTCTCCTGCCTCAGCCTCTCAAGTAGCTGGGACTACAGGCATGAGCCACTGCCAGGACTAAATTGTGTAGCTTTTAATCTGCCTCCTTACGTCTCACAGCTACAAACTACAACCCTTCCCTGTTCCTGAACTTTCTTCCAGAACACATCTGTAACGCCACTGCCGTGCCCACAAAGCACTGATGACTCTTCATCAGAATAGGCAGCAATTCACCTCCCAAGCTGACCGCGATCTACCTCCAGTTTACCTCCTCTCCTGCACCCCCATCCCTAACCTGATGTGTGATAGTCACAGTCTTTTTTTTTTTCTTTTCTTTTTGAGACGGAGTTTCGTGCTTGTCGCCCAGGCTGGAGTGCAATGGTGCAATCTCGGCTCACTGCAATCTCTGCCTCCCAGGTTTAAGTGATTCTCCTGTCTCAGCCTCCCAAGTAGCTGGGATTACAGGCGCACTCCACCACGCTGGCTAGAGATGAGGGTTTACCCTATTCGTCAGCCTGGTCTCGAACTCCTGACCTCAGATGATCTGCCCGCCTGGGCCTCTCAAAGTGCTAGGATTACAGGCGTAAGCCACCGTGCCCAGACTTTTTTTCATGAATCTAATACTCTAAGGAATGGCACAGCTCCAAATTCTCACAAATATTCCTCATTCTTTGCAGTGCGTCTTTCTCTGCCTTGTGAAACTGTACACTCTTCAAGTCCAAATTAATTCCAATGTCACCTTGGTTGGTCCCACAGTGGCCTCGGGCCTGAATTAATCACTCCCTCCTCAGGAGATTCAGTATATTTGTTTCCATGTTGGATGACCTTTGCATAAGCAACCAACTGGCTGTTTGCTCAGAAGGAGACTGTGGCAGTGTAGGCACTTCCACTGTCATATTCAACACACTGAATTCTAGTTAACTGCCTGGCTCTCTCTTCTGCTACAAGATCAAGTCCTATTTAGTTTTCTGTCCCAGTGTCTAGCACAGTGCCTTAAATGGGAGGACACTCGGTCATCATTTACTAAATTGAAACGAATTGCTGGGAATGCATTGCAGATGCACCTGAATTGGGGGTTACCAAAAAGAGAGAGAAGAGAAAATTGTATTGGAGCCAATGATAAATTTAATCCAACTCATATTTACAAACACAGAGATCTTGTCAGCATGTGAAAGTCTAATGGATCAATTAGGGCAGGAGTCCTCCACCTTTTCTCGGACCAGGGACCGGTTTCATGGAAAACAATTTTTCCATGGACTGGAGGGAGGGAAGATGAAACTTCCACCTCAGATCATGAGGCATTACTTACATTCCCATCCAGAGCACGAAACCGAGATCCCGCACATGCGCAGTTAACAACAGGGTTCCTGCTCCTATGAGACTCTAATGCCACCGCTGATCTGACAGGAGGCAGAGTTCAGGCAGTAATGCTTGCTCACCAGCCACTAACCTCATGCTGTGCCACCTGGCTCCTAACAGGCCACAGACCGGTACCTTCATGGAAGAAACAACCTGGACCCCTTGCCTATTGTTGGTGTGTCCCTTCCCACAGTCACACCCTCTTGTACCTGTCCCTGGGAGGAAAACACAAGATGTCAGTCAGTTTGAAATTTCCGCCAGGCGTGGTGGCTCACACCTGTAATCCCAGCAATTTGGAAAGCCGAGGCAGGCAAATCACCGAAGTCAGGAGTTCAAGACCAGCCCGGCCAACATAGTGAAACCCTGTCTCTACTAATAATATACCAAAATTAGCCAGGCGTGGTGGCACACATCTGTAATCCCAGCTACTCAGGAGGTTGAGGCACGAGAATTGCTTGAACTCAGGAGGCGGAGGTTGCGGTGAGCCAAGATTGCGCCATAGCACTCCAGCCTGGGCAACAAGAGCAAAACTCCATCTCACACACACACAAAAAAAAAGCAAAAAAAGAAATTTCCCATCCATGAGTTTTTCACTTTTTCATCTTCTTGGTGCAGGGAATTTGAAGTATTTAAGAAAGCAAAATAAGGCCGGGCACAGTGGCTTATGCCTGTAATCAATCCCAACATTTTGGGAGACCAAGGCAGGTGGATCACTTGAAGTAGGAGTTCAAGATCAATCTGGCCAACATGGCAAAATCCTGTCTCTACTGAAAAATACAAAAATTAGCCGAGCATGGTGCCACGTGCCTGTAGTCCCAGCTACTTGGGAGGCTGAGGCAGGAGAATTGCTTGAACCCAAGAGACAGAGGTTGCAGTGAGCCGAGATGGTGCCACCGCACTCCAGCCTGGCGACAGCGAGGCTCTGTCTCAAAAAATGCAAAATATTCTGTACACATCACTTTTGTATTGCATGCATACAGATGGATGGATGGATGGACGGACTGATGGACGAATGAATGGATGAATGGATGGACAAATTTTTACTTTGATTAATCGATAAGAAGTATTGTCTTTCTGGCCAGGGGCAGTGGCTCACACCTGTAATCTCAGCACTTTGAGAGGCTGAGGTGGACAGATCACAAGGGCAGGAGTTTGAGACCAGCCTGGCCAATATGTAATAAACCCCGTCTCTACTAAAAATATAAAAATTAGCCAGGTGCAGTGCCTCATGCCTGGAATCCTAGCACTTTGGGAGGCTAAGGTGGGTAAGTCACAAGATCAGGAGTTTGAGGCCAGCCTGTCCAAATGGTGAAACCCGTCTCTACTAAAAATACAAAAATTATCCAGGCGTGGTGGCAGGGACCTGTAGTCTCAGCTACTTGGGAGGCTGAGGCAGGAGAATCGCTTGAACCCGGGAGGCGGAGGTTGCAGTGAGCTGAGTTTGTGCCACTGTATTCCAGCCTAGGTAACAGAGCAAGACTCCATCTCAAAAAATAAAATAAAATAAATAAAAATACAAAAATTAGTTGAGTGTGGTGGCCAGCACCTGTAATCCCAGGTACTCAGAATGCTGAGGCAGGAGAATTGCTTGAACCCGGGAGGCGGAGGTTGCGGTGAGCCAAGACCATGCCACTGCACTCCAGGCTGGGCAACAGAGCAAGACTCCATCTCAAAAAAGGAAAAAAAAAGGAAGTATTGCCTTTCTTATATCTCCCACAGTCAGAATGATGTAGCTCCATTTCTAGGCTAAACAGAAAGATGGATCTGCCTGAAAAATGATTTAAAAATCATTTCTTTTTAGGGCTGAGCATGGTGGCTCACTCCTGTAATGTTAACATTTTGGGAGGCAGACCAGCCTGGGCAACAAAGCAAGATCCCTTCTCTACAAAATAAATACATAAATAAATTAGCCGGCCATGGTGTTGCACACCTGTAGTTCCAGCTACTCCAGAGGCTGAGGTAGGAGGATCGTTCGCGCATGGGAGATTGACACTGCAGCTAACCATGATCACACCACTGCACTCCATTCTGACAGCTTGGCTTCTCCCCAGGGGATTTCTAATGTGCATCCAAAGTCAAGAACTACTACATATACACAGTTCTGCAGTTTGCATTTTTGTTTTGTTTTTGTTTTTAACAATATGTCTTATACATCCTTGCATAGGAATATATAAGAGTGCTCTCTTTTTAATAGCTGCATAGTATTCCACCAGATAGAGTAGGGTGGCATTTGTGGACATCAGATCGTTTTCCATATTTTGCTCTTAAAAGAAATGCTGAAACAAATCACCTTTCATATCTATTGTTTTGCACATATGTATATATAGCTGTTGGATAAAGTCCTACAAATACCGTTGCTAAGTGAAATAATAAGATCACTTGTAATTTTGCTAAATATTTATACGTTCACTATTTATTTTGTTAACTACTTGTAATTTTGCTAAATGTTTCATGCTAAACATTTGATAGACATTATTAAATTGTCCTATGAGGATTAATTTTTTTTCACGACAAATGAGATACAAACAATCAGGGTTTGCAAGTCCTGATTACACAAAGACATTAATCGTGGATCACGCTAACTCCAATTATCATGGTCTATCTGCCCTCCAAAACCAGGAACAGGTACGAATTATCCCACCTGATGATAGGATTATTCATCCAGGTCTATAAAGAGTTTTCAGAGTGAAAAATCGTGATTTTGTTTTAGAGACATATATGTGAGCACATGATTACCGGGTTTGGTTTAAATTTCAAAGAGTGACAAAAGGTTGCAGCAGTGGATCATTTGTCATTGTTAGGGTGGCAGTGTCTTTCCTGATAGGGCTGGTTGGCAGCTCAGTTTCTTGTTGTTTCTTGTCATTAAAGAGTTTTGTTCTCAGAAAGGAAATAATCTGTGCTCTTTGATGTGGTTCAGAAAAAAGAGACCATGACACCACATTTTAAAACTCGTTGTGACAGATCATCCATGAGCAGCTCTCTAGAAGAAACAGCTCGCAGAGCTCTGACTCAAATGAGAGAAGTTTTTAGAGAACGGGGAATGTCTGACTCTGGAAGAATTTCCTCAAGAAAACACAAAGGCAAAGAATGAAAAATGCAAACACAATTATTCTTCCTCTGATGGGAATAACTTTCCAGCTCAAATGCATCTTCATTTATTTGTTTCTTTTGTGTGCGTGAGACAGGGTCTTGCTATGTTGCTCAGACTGAAAAGCAGTGGCATGATCTTGGCTCACTGCAACCCCCAACTCCCAGGCTCAAGTGATTCTTGTGCCTCAGCCTCCCAAGTAGCTGGGATTACAGGCGTGCGCCACCACACCCAGCTAATTTTTGTATTTTTAGTACAGACAGAGTTTCAGCACGTTGGCCAAGCTGGCCTCAAACTCCTGGCCTCAAGTGATCTGCCCACGTTGGCCTCCCAAAGTGCTGGGATTACAAGCATGCACCATCTCCCCCGGCCTCAAGTGAATCTTAATTTTGAGGTTATTCCAGAAGCTGAAGACAGTAAATCAAGCACTAAACTAGAAACATACTCCAGATGGGCACAGTTGCTCATGCCTATATCCCAATGCTTTGGGAGGCTGAAGCAGGAGGATTGCTGGAACCCAGGGGATCGAGACCAGCAGGGGCGACATAGTATAGAGACCTCATCTCTACAAAAAAAAAAGTAGACAAAAAAAATCAGCTGAATGTGGCATCTCACTCCTGTAATCTCAACTACTTGGAGGGATGGCTTGAGCCCAGAAGTTTAGGGCTGCAGTGAGTTATGATTGCACCACTGCACTCCGGCTTGGGTGATAGACCCAGACCTTGTCTCTGAAAAAAATAAATAAAATGAAAAGAACCATGCTCTTGTACAAACGTGGGTATTTTTAGGAGCAAAAACAGACACCTTTTGTAAGTTTCCACATTTTTATACGATTCAAGATTCCACTCTATAACATGTATCTCTTCTGCCTCTGTCTTTAATTCTCCTTCTCCTCCTCCTCTGAGAGGAAGATGACAGACAGACACAAAGACAGAGACGTGGAGATGCAGAGAGAAACAGAACAGATCTTTTGGCATGACATGTTTTTAAAATAGTTGTCAGGGTGTGCTGAGCGAAATGGACCATAATAAAACAGATCATTTTTATGTCAAATGGATGTTATGATATGCCTGTATTTATTTTCTTTTTTTCTTTCCTTTTTTTTTTTTTTTTTTTGAGACAGAGTTTCAGTCTTTCACCCAGGCTGGAGTGAAGTGGGGTGATCTAGGCTCGTTGCAACCTCTGTTACCCAGGTTCAAGCAATTCTCCTGCCTCAGCCTCCCTAGTAACTGGGACTACAGCTAATATGCCCAGCTAATTTTTGTATTTTTAGTAGAGCCAAGGTTTTTATCATGCTAGCCAGGATGATCTCAAACTCCTGACTTCATGTGACCTACCTGCCTGCACCTCCGAAAGAGCTGGGATTACAGGCGTGAGCCACTGTGCCCGGTGGAGTTTGAGTTTTATAAGTTGAAAAGAGTTATAAGACGGTGGTGATGCTTGCACAACACTGTGAATGCCCTTAAGGCCACTGAACTGCACACTTTTAAAAAGGATAATATAGGCCCGGCACGGTGGCTCACGCCTGTAATCCCAGAACTTTGGGAGGCCAAGGCAGGAGGATCATCTGAGGTCAGAAGTTCAAAACCAGCCTGGCCAACATGGTGAAACCCTGTCTCTACTAAAATACAAAAATTGGCCAGGCATGGTGGCACGTCCCTGTAATCTCAGCTACTTGGGAGGCTGAGGCAGGAGAATCACTTGAACCCGGGAGGCAGAGCTTGCAGTGAGTTGAGATCATGCCATTGCACTGTAGCCTGGGCGACACAGTGAAACTCCGTCTCAAAAAAAAAAAAAAACAGGCCGGGCGCGGTGGCTCAATCCTGTAATCCCAGCACTTTGGGAGGCCGAGGCGGGTGGATCACAAGGTCAAGAGATCGAGACCATCCTTGTCAACATGTGAAACCCCATCTCTACTAAAAATACAAAACATTAGCTGGGCATGGTGGCACGTGCCTGTAATCCCAGCTACTCAGGAGGCTGAGGCAGGAGAATTGCCTGAACCCAGGAGGCGGAGGTTGCCGTGAGCCAAGATCGCGCCATTGCACTCCAGCCTGGGTAACAAGAGTGAAACTCCGTCTAAAAAAAAAAAAAAAACAGGTTAATACAGGAAATGTTATGTTATGTATTGTTTACTACAATGTTTTTTTTTGTTTTTTGAGAGTGAGTCTTACTCTGTCACTCAGGGTGGAGTACAATCACACAATCAGGGCTCACTGCAGATTCAACCTGTCAGGCTCATGGGATCCTCCTACCTCAACTGCCCAAGTAGCTGGGACCATTGGCTCATGCTACCATGCTGGACAAATTTTTGTATCTTTTGTAGAGTTGGAGTTTTACCATGTTGCCCAGACTGGTCTCTAACTCCTGGGCTCAGGGATGCACATGCCCGACCTCTCAAAGTGCTGGGATTACAGGTGTGAGCCTCCATGCCCCGCTGCACAATGTTTCGTTTTGTTTCAGACGGAGCCCCACTCTGTTGTCCAGGCTGGAGTACAATGGCGTGCTCTCGGCTCATAGCAACCTCTGCCTCCCAGGTTCAAGCAATTCTCGTGCCTCAGCCTCCCGAGTAGCTGGGATTACAAGTGTGCACCATCATGCCCAGCTAATTTATTGCACTTTTAGTAGAGTTGGGGGCTTTGCCATGTTGGTCAGGCTGCCCACCTTGGCCTCCCAAAGTTCTGGGATTACAGGGGTGAGCCACCAGGCTGGCCATATTTTTTTTTTTTTTTTTTGAGATGGAGTTTTGCTCTTGTTGCCCAGGCTGGAGTACAATAGCTCAATCTCAGCTCATGGCAACCTCTGCTTCCTGGGTTCAAGTGATTCTCCTGTCTCAGCCTCTAGAGTAGCTGGGATTACAGGTATGCACCACCACGCCCGGCTAATTTTGTATTTTTAGTAGAGATGGGGTTTCTCCATGTTGTCTAGGCCGGTCTCGAACTCCCAACCTCAGGTGATCTGCCCACCTCGGCCTCCCAAAGTGCTGGGATTACAGGCGTGAGCCACCACACCTGGCCCTTTTTTTTTTTTTTTCCAAGGCAGTGGGCAATAGTAGAGATCTCTGCAGCACAGCTAAGGTGGGTGAAGAAGGAGCGAGGAAAGAACTATTTTCAGGCAGCCTTCCTATATCATGGCTTTCTGCAATGGATTGGCTTGGTTGATTCCAAGTGTCATAGTCGGTCATTCTTCATAGAATAAAAAATTCATGAGTTGGAAAGGTACATTTCAAAGCCAGGAAATGACTTCTTTTTAATGTATGTTACAAGTCTAGCTGTTAATCAAAAGCCCTCCTGCACTGACACAGGCTTTGCTCGCTGAGTTGCTCTGCAGAGCCCAGGAAAATAATAAAACCTTTATGACCAAGAGTACTATTTCATTTCCCTTCTAAAGGAAACCCATGAAAGGCCACCCATGCTGGCTGGTGTGGATGCAAGCAAAACTTAACTGTAAACTGAAGCGACGATGTTTCTTTTGCCTCTGTGCTGAAAAACCAAAGCAACAAAATAATACAACAAAAAGAAATATAATTTAAATACATAACAACTGCTGGTTTTCATCTTAATAATTTACAACTGATGAAGCTGGGAGATTATCTATTGGTCTTTCATGTGGTTAGTTTCAAAATATGACTTATTATCCTGTCCAGGCTGTGGTTTTCTGGCTTATTCAATTACTTCCCCCAGTTCTCTGGCCCCTCTTCTGCACAAACGCCCTCCCAGCCCTCAAAGGCCCTACCCGCTTCTGAAACTATCCCCCACAACCAGCAAGATTCTTCCTAGAAAGACTTCTATAGAAAATCTTTTCAAAGGCCAAGTACAGTGGCTCACACCTGTAATCCCAGCACCTTGGGAGACTGAGGTGGGCATGTGGTCAAGAGTTCAAGACCAGCCTGACCAACATGGTGAAACCCTGTCTCTACTAAAAATACAAAAATTAGCCAGGCGTGGTGGCAGGTGCCTTTAGTCCCAGCTACTCGGGAGGCTGAGGCAGGAGAATTGTTTGAACTCAGGAGGTGGAGGTTGCAGTGAGCCAAGATCACATCCCTGCTCTCCAACCTGGGTGACAGAGCAAGACTCCATCTCAAAAAAAAAAAGGAAAGAAAATATTTTCTAGGCTGGGCACAGTGGCTCACGCCTGTAATTCCAGCACTTTGGGAGGCCAAGGCGGGCAGATTGCTTGAGCCCAGGAGTTTGAGACCAGCCTGGGCAACATGGGAAAACCCTGTCTCTACAAAAAAATCCAAAAATATTAGCCAGGCATAGTGGTGCTCACCTGTAGTCCTAGCTTCTTGGGAGGCTGAGGCAGGAGTATTACCTGAGCCCGGGGGGTTGAGGCTGCAGTGACCTCCAGTGATTGTGCCACTGCACTCCACCCTGGGTGACAGAGTGAGACCCTGTCTCCCCCCACACCCTCCCAAAAAAACCAAAAATCTTTTCTAGAAAGTCTTCTTGGGCCTCCCTCTTCAGATCTCTTCCTCCAGTGAATTCTGTGACACTAATTACTTTTTCCCCCCATGATACATAGGGCTTTGGGCTATGAAAGTATAATTTTCAAAAAGAT